GTCTATCAGCACGGGTCGCCCGAAGGGAGTCCTTTGTGCGTGCTCTTCCAATGAATCGAAAAACCTGCCGCGGCGAACTGCATTAGGGCGTCGGCGAGCTTATAATATTCTGTTATTGGGGTAAGACAAAAAGTAATGCAGGATGACACGCATCTGCACAACATTTAATCGAGCAGTGCATTCATGCTAGAGTGGCATTATAATTGGCGTACGTGCTTACCTTGGAAGATCACTTCAATATAAGTGAACCATATGATCATCCACGACCCAAGATAACTGGCCCCATTGGTTGGTCCTTCGTCGGTTTTTGCAGGTATATGTCTCACTCTTGACTCTCCCGAGTGCCATCACTGTCGTTTTGATCAAATAAATGATACAATTGGTTGAATGCAATAACCAACGCAACGAACCTCAGTTGGTACTTTTTCTCACGCGTCGCGTATGTCGTACAATCACGTAATAATCTAATCGTTAGTGTTAGTTTTTCTTTTTGGCCAGAATCTAGTTGGTTAATGCGCAAATAAAAATCGAATTCAAGTGTTCAGTTTCAAACCCCCATCAAACAGGACTTGAGGTTTCCCGAAAGTAAAAAACATGACTTAAGAATGTTACACATGTACTACCTCCATTCTAGTTTATTAGTCATATTCGTATTAAGGGTCATATTTTGACAAACATTTTAACTATTAAAATATAAGTTATACGTAGCAAAAGTAATGTCATTGAAAACTTGTTCAAATACGAATCCAAAGATATAACTTTTTATGACAATCAGTAACATTTGTCAGTTAAATTTATGATTAAAATTTGGCACTAAATACAGAAAGGACCAATAAATCGAAACATAGGAGGTAGCTCTGAAGTGACATGTTGTCTTAGTTTGTACTTCCTCTGTAAACTAATATAAGAGCGTTTAGATTACTAAAGGAGTAATTTAAACGCTCTTATATTAGTTTTTTTAGACAACCTTAGGAAGCTTTATTAATTCGTCACAATGTTCACAGGGACGGATGGTAAATTTCCGGGGTGCCCCAATCACACATGGCGGCCACCACCGAGAGATAAAGCATGCTTCGCTAAGTTGTGAGCTTCATAATTTGAGCTCCTAAGATCATGACTAAAAGTGCAAAGATCAAAAAGCAAAGAATGGTCTATTATTTCATGTACAATTGCACCGTAGCTTGCCGAGTTATCCATCATGAGATCTTGCACCACCACTTTGCAGTCTGAAGCCACTTGAATCCTTCGCTCTTATATTAGTTTACAGAGGGAGTACAAAGTCGAAAAGATGGAAATGAAAGTGATGGATTGTGGATGGGCTTAGGCCCATATAAGACAATAATCCCTAGTTAATCTCTAAGGCCCATGCATGTATACGACAAGTGGTGGGAAGTGTGGGAAGTTTAGTCCCATATTGCTACAGTAAAAAAAGTGAGACCTCTTTTTAAGGGTTGTTCTACCACTTGCTATTGGGAGCTTGGGAATAGGAGCTATACACGCGCGCTCCTCCTCCTCCGTCGCTCGCCTCGCCACGCCACGCCACGCCACGCCTCGCCTCGCCAGGTCACAACGCGCGGGCGCGCCGCGGGTTGCGGGAATGAGCCGGGTCGAAGCTTATTTTTGCCGCTCAAAAATGGTTAATTAATTGTTAATTAATTAACGAGTCGCTTACGGAAGCGCCATTGTCCGAGACGTTGGACCATGGGCTGTTTGCGGACTCGGTCGTGGGCCTGGCCCAGGCCCATCTACCGGATGACCTATATAAGAAGGCGCTGCCAGTGAAGTGAACTCTAACTCAGTTCACTCACTCCCTCTCGTACAATCCTATCCATCATCGACTATCGTTCGAGATCCTGCCCGGGAGAACGACAATAAGGTTTTTGGGGAGCGTCTCGACGCGACTGCTCCCGATCCCTCCCCGTCTCCGTCCGTCTCTACTTCCACTACTTCCCCTGCATCGACCCTATGGCTGACACCGCCGCCGCCAAGAAGGCCTCGGCCGATGCGGAGGCGGCCGCTGCCGCCGCCGCGTTGGCATGGCCAACCGGAGGGTATGACTCGTTCATCCTCTATTTGCTCGTTCATGTGCTAGCCGTGTATATGCTGTTCATACATGTTTCGGTTCTATGTACTGTACGTGCTCACATGCTTAGGTATCGGTATGAGATGCATATCGTATTTGTCATGCTTACTGTTTACTCGTGGATTAAATTAGTCGGAAAAATGCTAATATTTTCAACAGAAAGTTGTAAGTTTCTCCCATTGTGCAGCTTGTGTGTACTGGGGGTGCAGATTAGTTTTGATGTGGTAATGTTACCTGACTCCATTTTTTTTAATGAAAATGGTGGCCAAGTGGCGCCTTCCATCGAAAAAAGTAGCGTGCTTTTTCGCTTTGACCTTTCACGTTGTCAATCACTATCCATGTAGAGAGACCGAGAGATCACATCAGAGCTATCGAGGTCAACATGAAAAAGGTTTGCTAGTGCATCAGTGGAGCGTTTCAGATTATGACGAAAAAGGGTTTCCCCCGCTTTGTATTACAAAGCAACCACCGATACATCCAACGATAGGTGTTGGGGCCGCAGCACAGATAAGCCCAAAGAAAAACAAAGAAGAAAGGAAGAGAAACAAATGCCAACAACGGCAGATCAACGAAACGAAGATGACCGGCGACCGCTTCACCCTCCGGAGAAGTACCACCACGTTCCCAGCACCCGAAGCGCCGCGTACCAAGCAACACCTTCAAGAAGGAGGCGACGATGACGCCGCTGCTGCCCGGACTAGTCCTAGGGTTTCCCCCGGTACGCAGGAGGGCAGTGAGGGGAGGGGTGTACCCGACGCCCTTCAGGAAGGTCCGACGGCACCCACAGGCGTCGCCGCGTCGGGGCCGGACAAGCCGCCAGAGATTTCTCCCAACCCAAACCCCCACCACCACCCCAGACGAATCATAGTGCACCACCCATCACGCCGCCCACCAACATGTGCCACCACGATCACCGGATCAACTCCGCCGTCTCCCTGAGGTCACCGACACGAGACCTGGAGGATGGGAGAAGGGAGAGTGTCCTTGGGGGCGTCCGCAACATCACCGACGTGAGGGGACAACCACCACCGCCACCGTGGAGCCGACCGGACGCGCGGACAAGGGACCTACCAGGCACCGAGGCCCGGCCGAACCCAACAGGGTCCGGACAGCCCCTGCCTCACGCTGCAGCTCATCGGCCGACGAAGCCGCCACCGCCCGCAGACCACCGCCACTTCACCACCAACCAGGGAGCAGCGCCGCCACACACCGAGTCGCCGGCCCGCCCTAGCCCAGATGGGGCCCGAAAGGGCCCAGATCTGGGCCGCGCGGGCGCCGCCGGCCACCAGCACCGCCACGCCGCCCCGCGGCCAACGGCCGCGCCGCCGCACCGAGAGCCACGGAGCTCGCCGGACTCCCGCCGCCAAACCCCACCGCAGAGGCCGAGCAGCACCGCCGCCATAGGGAGGCCCCCGCGCCCCCCAAGAGCGAGCGGGGAAGGG